ATCCAACACCTACAAACTTAACTGAACTGAGTAATAATATAATTCATGTGTTTAATAGAATTACCCCAGAAATACTGCAAAATGCATTTACAAATTTTTTAATGCGTCTGCATACATGTATTGAACAAAATGGAGGTCATATTCAACAATTAATTTATTAATGTTTTAGTACATATTTTTTGTATTCAATAAAAATTCAGATAGGTACCAACATGGTGGGACACCACTTACGCCACAAAAATCCGTATGGTATGAGGTGCTCCCCTCTGTCTTTATAAGTAAAATATCATTACTTGATATTATTCTGAAATTTATACCTAAGGGACAAGGCAATGAATAACAGTATCTTATCAATGATCGTTCGATGTAAAACGTCAATTTATATTTCGATATGTGCCACCAAAATGTAATAGACACCGTTAACATTGATTTAATTAGCTAAAATTAAAACCTATTAAAGCAATAAAAAAATTATAAAAAATTTACTTTTTTTAAAAGGCGAAGAAATAAACTATCTAATGACTATGAGAGATACGAAATGTTTCATTCGCCATAAGACCTTAATCTGAATTTAATTTTTTTTTTACGAAAACTTTACAAGTTTAAGATTTGGCATTTATGTCAGAAAAAAATTTAAACATTTCCAAGAATTTTGGTGAAAACCTTTTATCAATACATTGCCTTACTTCCAAATTATAAGTTAATTAATTGTGATACTTCACGTTTGGAAGTTATTGACATGGTTGCATAAAAAAGTGAATGTTTCCCTAAAAAATAAAGTAAATGCTTACAATGTATACATTTTTGGAAAGGGGTAGAAATGTTCTTTCCGAGGATGTTAAAAATTATAGGGTGTTCTATTTAAAATAAGCTCACAATTTTGGTTCAAAAAAGTTCGTTTTTTTTGTTGGCACTTTCCAGAAAAAAATTACATGTGGCAACAATGTCAAGAAAAACTTGAAGTTAATGTAGAAGGTCTAGTGAAAACTGCATCTCGATATCTTTTTTAATTCTCGAGTTATAAGTTGTTAAAATGTGTCAATTTATAGATGGACCCTGTATTATAAAACAAATATCTGTCCCAATGAAACATATAGTTAATGTTTCAAATGTTTTTAGAGGCTGTTCCCTATTCATATTCTGGAATGGCTGGTGATTTTTGTTTTAAAATCAGTTATGGTTTGATTTTATTACGCTGTTTGCTTTTAAGAAGGGCAAATGACACAATTATTTCATTTTTTGATTGAAGTTATAGTAAGTTTTCCACTTCGTTTTTTTTTATTTTCACATTAGAGAATATTTTTAGTGCCTGATTCTTGCATTTTTAAAAAGTATAATAATTTGGATTTAATATTGTGGTTTTATCACGATACACAAATACCGGTATGCTACTAATTCGAGCGAATTTCGCACTTTCAGCGGATGACGTAACGTGGCATAAAGCAAACAGTATTTGATTGACGTTTGAATAAGAACAATTTTTTAATACAGTTTTATTTCTAATTATAAAGATATAATTATATGAAATAATTAATGACACGCATTTATTTTTGGAATTTTAAATAAGAGTTGAAAGTATTTTGCTTGTATGATATTTATTTTTGAAGCACCTATTTGAAGAGATTAAAGTGTTTTGATTTTGTGTTTTCCATTTTTGGATGTTTTTAAAGGGTATAAATTAAAGTATGGTGATTTCTTCAGCAATTTTATTGTAACAATAAAAAACTATAAAATGTCTAATTGTACTGTGGCTACTTGTAAAAATTATAGCAAAATTACGAAAGAAAAATTTTCGATTTACAATGAATGATGATTTGACTATGCATATCACCGAAAAGGGACAATAAATTTAAAAAATGTATTTCACTTAGTGGGAGGCTTCCGGTGTTTCGTTTAAAATCAAAACGTTACTAGTTTATTTTAGGCTAAGCGTTTATCCGTAGAGGCATCAGTCTCGATAAGGTGAGAACCACCATTTATTTCTTGTTATTTTTATTGTTGATCCCTTTTTGATACTACACACTACACACTACTTTCCATAAACCGAAATGTATTAGTAATAACATCGCGTCTTAAGTTCCTATAACGAGTCAGGCGGTAGACAATAATATCTTATGTCTTCTTCGGATAATATAATATGTTTATAATACCTCCGTTATTATCGTATGTATATATATACGATGCTATTTTAAGGTATTTGCGAATTGAAAATGTTATCTAAGAAGTGTAGTGCTAGTGCGGCAAGGGACGTTTGGGAGATAGCAAGGTCCCGCTTTTCAATCCATGCATTTACTACACATTAAGCCAGAGCCGGACTAGTCAATGCGGCATATGCTAAAATTTGGTATTATTAAATTTATTGCCGACATGCAGCTAAAAATAAATATGCAAGGTATTCCCATTGACATCATATTATCTAAGATAGATTCGCCCTTTACACTGTTTAACTTATACACCTTTTGTCCGCATCATATATCAGACGGGAAAAGGGGTATCGTATGTCGCACCTAGACGTAATGTTCCGGGAAGGTTTATTTAGATTTTATAAAAATTATTTATTAATCAAATCCTAATAATATATACACGTTTAATATGTATTATGAATTAAAGTTATATTTAACAATAAATTTTCAATATATACAGGGTATTCAAAAACCCGTTTTGTATATGTTCTTACAGATTAAAGTAATAGCTCAAATTGGAGAAATAGTTTTGTTACTATTGAAAACAGTGACGAAAAACTACTAGACTAATCCATTTATTCATAATTAGGCCCTTCTTTATTGCAATCATTTAGATTGTGTTTTATATTACGCTTACAGAGCTGTCGCATTTAATTGGATATGACTTGTGCAAGTTTATCTAAGGTGCGAACACATTTATTATGAATGAATCAATAACTACGGATACGTTGCTTGCTTTACAGAGCTGTCACACTTTAAAATAAATTGCGTACTTTCCTGGAAATCGACTTCAATAATTATGACAGTGGCAAAGAGAAAAATAAATTATACTGATAATAACTGGCATCAAATATACTGTGATGTTTGTTTATTTTCAAACAACAGTTTATTTATTAATAATTTATTTAAACACTTATTTATTTTATAACACAATTATTCTAATTTATATATACTTCGAATGTCTTTAAACTGATCACTATTTATATTCACCACTGTCTATCTACTAATTAATATTTATCTTCACTGTTCATATAATACTGATTACTGATGGCTCTCCTCCACCAATTTATATACAAATTGGTGGTCTAGAATGCTCCCCCACCAAAATTGCCAGAAGGTGCCAGAAACGTTATATTTAGACTAGAAATAGTATCTCGTTGACTCTGGAATGTTCGCGAAAGTGTCTCCACCATAGTCGTCCCATAGGTTTGGTTTAATTATGTATAATAAGCGGACAAGTTGAGCCTTAAAGGCCAAATAATACAGAGAGGGACTTGTAATATTAGAGCATGACTGAATAATGAAATGGCTCACATTACAATAATTTCTTAATGTAATTTTAAAAGGCTTTTGTGCGTTTTAGAGCCTTATGTTAAGTCAATACCGAACTTTAACCATAAACAATCCTTGTAACAAAACTCTTACATACTCTCTTATAATAATTTGACAATTACGTGGATAACACCGTGAATGTTTTTGCAATTAGAGTTTTGTAAATTAATTACTCTAGTAGTTGTTCGTCGTTGCTATAAAAGTAAACTGCGATTTTCTTATTCTAGTATTATTTTTTTTTAAATACATGATATCAAATACAAATATAAATTTATTTATTATTATTTTTACATCGGTATTATCACGACTACCTTTCTTTATGAAATTTTCTTTATGAAATTAAATTTTAGTTTCTTATTTGAGTTCTTAAAAAAGTATTTGAAAGCAATTCTCGTCGTGGGGCGATTTGCAGGTACAATTTTTCATTAATGCACATAAAACAACAGTTGTACCATTTATAAACAACAGGTGCATACAGGACTAAGATGGCTAGTGCTAAACAACATGTTTATTTTATTTGTCACAGAAGCCAAATAGATCGGAGACATATTTGACCAAAGGCTGACGTGGAATCAACTTCCTAAAAAACTTACACACAAAGCTGCATTAGCTCTCATAAGCTGTGTAAGCATATGTTGGAAAATCTGGGACCTAAGCTCGTCTGGTGTACAGACAGTTCAAAAAACCATAAAAGGAGTAGGTGCTGGAATATTTGGATCCAGGTCGAAAACAACGATTTCGCTGAGTCTAGGAGAATACGCAACAGCCATTAACAAAGAAGCTCTAAAGGCAATTTTCTCATAAAAAATCATATCACGTCTGATAAAATACTGACTAGAGGACCTGCCAGAACTAGGTAGTCAAATAGTAGTCAAATAGTAACCTTAGTCTGGATACCAAGGCAAGAAGGATATTAAAGCAATAAAAAGATCGACAAACTAGCCCGAGAAGGCTCATAAAGCGATAAACAGACAATATACCATTCTGTGGAGTTTTTAAAGCATTGTGGAAGGCATGGTTTAAACAATGAATATAAAAAAGTTTCAGTTTCAAGGAACAGTCGTCCAAGCTCTCGAAAGATCTCCTAGATTAAGAACGTTAGGCTAACAATTGGTCTGAGTATCACCAATCCAGCAGAAGAAACAAAATTGTGCAGGTTCTGTGAAGTTACTAAGTCTAATAAAAAAGACAACGTTAGAAGACAGACTCTAACTAACTGAATTTCAAAATAGATCTGAAAATATTCACTTAGATTTGCTCATTTTATTCATTTAAATGACTTTTCTATAATTATTTCATATCATCACAATATATAATGACGCTAATTTTCTTTTGTTTCATTTGTTTTGCAATAAGCTTTCTATGGTTAGTTTTTGTCCAATAACCCACTGACACTGACTAACCTGTGCAATGAAATTTTATACTGTTAAATGCAAAAGGTTAAAGAAAATCTTAGAGAGAAATACATATTAGTAGGTACGTTACCCTTATATCACTGAGACATTTGTAAAGTCCTGAAACGAGTTTACATCCTTCTCCCAAAAGTGCTTGTGTTCTAAATACTCCTGCATGTTTCTGCATTGTTCTTTGAAGTTTCAACCTTAGTTGACCAACAGTTTGCTTGCCATGTGCTTTTCTCAAATTATCAAAATTTCGCAATGAATTTTCACCTAAACTCTAAAGAAAAAAATAAAAATTAAAAATAAATATTTAGATGAATCTTTATACAGAAAGTATATTTTTAAGTGATTTGCTTATTATCGAGAATAACTATTGATACTCAAGCATACCATAAAGTTATATTTGGATAAAGTATCATATTATGAGTATTAACCACAACTATGATGACGGGAGGCGTTTTCCGGGTTTGTTAATTGTAGAGCATTGACCGTGGACTGTACTTATTTAAAATTCTTTATTTTATGAATAACTATGATATAACATAAAAAGTGATTGACAAGCGTGATTCAAAACTATATTAATTAATTCTAAGTGTCACTTCAAAACCTCTGGAAATCAATCGTTCTTAGACGGCATAGGCTTAGACAGGGTTTTCCTAACCTATTCGCTCAGTGCAAAGTAATGGTAGGAGAAGCAAATGCGATATAAGGGCTAGTTGCGGATAATTGGTGCATTTTTGGGCGATATTTTGTAATTTTGGCATATCAACTACACGTATACATTTAACCTTTTTTTTTAAGTAGGTAAAAACAATACAATAAGCCACCGGAGTTGCTGTGTTGAAAATTGTGAAAATAGCAAAGCTGGGTAATTCCTAGTTAAAAAGTAATTAATAATTACAATTACTTTTTTTCATGTTATTTATAATTGTATTTAAGTAGGGTAGACTGGGGAGGATCAGACACTTTTTTTTTAATTTTGTAATATTCGCAAAGTTTTGGTTTTTGGAAAAATTTAATACTTGAAATCTTTTGCTACATATATTGTTATTATAAATTAAATTTGTTAGTTGGATTTATACATTTTGCAATATTGTTTTTACTAAAAAAGAAAACTGTTCCAAATGACGAATGTCCCCCTTGGCTGGGGTAGCTCCGACAGCAGGGTGGGGTAGACTAATTGGGGTGCATTAGACATTAACAAATTATTGTTTAATGAATAAAAAAAAACTATTAAACTTTATTAAAAAAACATTAACAAGGATTAAGTATCTACATAATTATATTATGAAACATTATATCCGCTTAAATCTATATTAAAATTGTACATAGTACTTGATCGTGATGTTCCGGGAGGATGGATGGGTGCTGGCAATTTCAACTCAATTTCGTCTCTTAAAATAATGGCAATGTGTGGAACAGTGGGCTTGTAGAAAGTTGTAGAACTTTTTCTTCGCAAAAAATCCGCTGTGTAATTTCCTTGCTCAGGATTATCTTCTATTATGCATCCTATATAAAACTTATCGCCAGTTTTACATTTGAACTTAGCCAAAATAAAATCGCCAAGTTTAATTGTATCTTGATCGCACAATTTAAACTGATCGGTTTGGCTATAATCGTCGTCTATATCATCGAAATCACTTAGTGCTTCGTGTAATGGCCCAATTGAATCGTCTGTGTCAGCAACGCTGAATGTTTCTGATTCAACTGAATCTGAAGAATAAAATTCAGCCCTTTTTTTAATTTTCTTAGCCGCTTGCTTTCTTTCAGCTGTAGCTTTTTTCATGTTTCTGTTCCTTTCCAGTTCCATTAAACGATCCTTCTCCGGAGTGTCAGTATATATACGTAATTTTCCCCCCTTTTTAGATTTGGGAGCGGAGATTTTTGGAAGAGGGCGCAAACGATCCGGAGTAACATATTCCGTATTTTTAGTGCTGGGAGATGGATTGGAAGTTTCTTCTAAATCGGTCACTACTGTTGGTTGCTCTCTAGTATGCTCATGCAACGAAAACTCTTCTTCTGGAAAAGTTTTAGTGTTCAGTGGATAAATACCCGTAGATCTAAATGATTTTTCAATATTTTCTGACGTAAACGCTCGTTGAAATGGTAGTTTTGAAAGCTGAGCTATTTCAAAAATGGTTACTACTTTTCCAGGGTTATTTGTTAAATAATAATTAAATGAAGTTTTGCAATAGGTTTTAAAAGGGCCAAATACGGAAACGTACAAGGGTTGTAAACGATGGGACGTGTGAGGCGGGAACGACAATAAGATTATACCATTGTCTCTACAGTAAATAATAGCGTCAAGACTGCAATGACTACTATGGTTATCGAGTAGGAGTAAAATTGGTTTTTCTTTAGAACATTTACTGTGATGCACGATATGCTTCAGTACATCAGTAAATAAATCACTGATCATCCAACCACTTTTAGAACTTAAAGCAATGCATCCGTTTAACCCGCCTACTAAATATTTCTCGATATTTCGTTTTCTTGGATATATAAATACAGGTGGAATATAATTTCCTGATGCATTGATTATCCCAATGACAGTAACTCGCTCGGCTGACACAACTTGAGAAACAGTTCTCTTTCCTTTTTCACTTATTACTTTAGGTGCTTGCAAGACAGTTGTTAGTCCAGTCTCGTCAAGATTGTAAATATTTTTTGTTTCGAAATTATGTTTCTTTAATAGATTGGTCAAATTTTCAAAAAATTCTGCTACTACTATTTTATTAAATCCGGAAGCACGAGCAATGCTTGTATTTTCTGGTTTGCGAAGGCTTAAATTACCATTCCTCTTCATAAAGCCATACATCCAGTCAACACCTGCAATTTGATCTGATTTCCATCGAGTGGGGCATTTAATATTATTAATTTCCGCATATTGAAATGCAAATTTTCTAGCTGACAAATATGTCAATCCATACTTTAATAGCGAACATTTTTTAAAGTATTCAGCAAGCTCAGTTTCTTGGTTTTGCGTAAAAATTTGGTTTGAAGTGTATTTTGAACTGTAATAATTCGATTCATCATCGGTGCTTTGCCCAGAATCAGTTCCATGTGTATTTTGTTTTTTCTTTATTCTTGTTATAATTGTAGTCCTCTTTAAATTATATTTTAAAGCTGCTGAAGTTGGCGTTTCTAATTTTCGGATGACATCTTGAACTGCTGATTTTATTGCCTCTTCTGAAATTTCAGTTCGGGTTGTCTTTTTTATGTATTTTCGTGGTATTTTTCTGTAACAAAGATAAAAATTTCAAATGAAAAACTTTGAAACTAGTAGGTACTATTGTGCTAATATTTGAAAACAGTAACACCCTCAAGCCAATTGGAGCCCTTCACCTACGCAGCTCACGAGCCGCCATTGCCATAGGGCCAATTAGAACATTTTAGAAAGAGAAACTTATTTTTGCATATCCAATCGGCATGAATAATTTTATTTTACTAGAAAATAATGCCTTATAAAAAGATAAAAATTTCAAATGAAAAACTTTGAAACTAGTAGGTGCTAACATTTGAAAACAGTAATTTAAACAGACTTTTACGATATGGGGTGGATTCGACAGTGTCGAATCCTACCCAAAATAGATTGTCGAATGGTCCCCATAACCACTTGTTTCTTTTAAAAATTTATTAAACCTACATAATTTAATTATTAGTAAAAAATAATGTTACTTACCAACTCAAACATCAATTTATTTATTACAGTTAATATATTTATTGTTTATAATAAAGGATGGCACGAAATTTTTTGGAATTTTAAACACTGTAATTTATAAAACACGTGGCGAAAAACAGCAAACGCGTCTAACGTCTACTATATTTACAGAACAACTAAAATATTTTGTGGGGTTATTCTATGGACCACCTCGAGTATTCACGAATTTTACCGAAATTTTAACGTTTCATTTTGCGGCAAAATTGACACTGTCGAATGCACCCCAGTGTCGGATCCTACCCAGTCTACCCTACTTTTTTTAAGGTAATGTGGAATTGTAATTGCAACAAAATCTGTGGAGGAATGGGCGTGTTTAGTAAAACTCAAAAATATTTTTTTCTTAAAGCTAGCACAAAATCTAATCTAAAAATATTTTTTTGAAATTTTTATCTTTTCAAATTTTTCTACAAGAATTTTATAAAATTAAAAAAAAATCAAGCAAATTTGAAACGCGCGCCACAATTATTTTCAGGCATCGTCATAATGAAGCCTAAAATTTGACTGGCCAATGTATAACCTTCCAGACAATAATCGATGTTTTTACCCTGTTTCCGCTTCCTATAAAGAATTATTGAAATTCCGGATAACGGACAATTTAAAGGTTAAGATCGTATAATTTAACACAATAACATATATATTAAAACTAAAAGAATAATTGTTTAAATTCCGTTTTTATGAAGCAACTTGACACTTACTATTTCAATAAACTTTTCTTTTCAATCGAAATGTTGTTCAAATCATAATCGCCGTATCGCAAAATATTTTCTTTGAATCTGGCAACGTGGTTTCATCTCTGCGTCTATAATGTCAAAAATCCTAACCTTGTTTTCGATTGCGAGATTATTTTGATTTATTTTAAAATGATTTAATTTTTTAAAAATGACTAAAGTACGATCAGGATAAAAAGAAGAATCTTTATACAACTTACCCAAGGTGGATTCTAACATGATTAATGATATTTTTTATATAAATAATACAAAGTTTATTGACTCTGAAATTCGCAACGTAAGTACCTACACTTTCTAAGCTCCAAATCTTTCTAGAATTATTGTATTCAAAGAGATTTGTATTTAAGACATTTTTTTATTATACAAACTAACTACTTATTATTGTTAAGTTTTCTATTCTATTGTAGGTCTTCCAAGGAAGTGTACTATTATATGTTCGGTTACCATTTGTAACATTAAAGCTAGAATTACACCAGAACACAAAAAGTTTATACCGTTATTCGGTAATAAATGAACAAAAGGAAAAGGTCATATCTTGTAAATTCACAAAATATTCTGCTTTCGAAGGTAATTTAAATTCCTGTCCAGGTTCTATTTTTTTAAGGTGGGTGTATAGTGTTGCTTTCTTTTTGTGGCTTCTGAACACCATCGAAGCAAATAATCTTCCATCACATCAACATTTATTATTAGAAAAGGCCACTGTTGTCAAAAGTTTGAAGTTTTAATGATTAGAGGACGTCGATTCTTCTTCGAATTAAATACATTATATCGAATGCAAAGTAACCAAAAAATTATACTTCCATATTCAACTGCAAATGTTGCTTTCTA